CAAGTTAGGTTCCCTGCTCCCCTCTCTCAACCATCCCTCATGGTGGGTGCCCCTACAGCCCAGTGGTCTTTCTCCCTGCAGAATCCTCAGGATGCAACATGGGCATCTAGCACAGACATGCCTCAGTCATCTATTGCATTGCCTGAAATGAGTCAGTGATAGCCTACAGGCAGGCAGCGATCCAGTAGGGACCTAAATGCCAGAATTTGAGGAGCCTTGTCATGCCTTCAGCACCTCTCTCGACATGCCAAGGAGCTGCCTCCAGTCTTACAGTTTTAGCTCTGCCCCTCTTCAGAAATACATTTGTATCGTTTTATAAAAATAATCACTCATTGTAAAAAAAAAATTCCAGTGGCATCCCATCTGATTTTATTTTTTATTTCTTTAATTAAATGTTTTTCTTGTTTAATTAAAAAAATAAAAAATTTTCTTTTATTTTTTTCCTCCAAAAATTCAGCTGCAACCCATCTGATTTTAAAATGTCAATTCCCCTCTACCAGCAAATGGGACAATGGATGCCTCCCAAAACAGTCTAGTGCAGAAGTTAGGATTGCAGGCACTAGAAGTGGGGCACAGGAGCCGAGTTGGAGAAAGAAGTGGAGTGCAGATCCTTGTCTTGGAGGATTCTTCCTCCCTGCTCACTGCAAGCTCCCAGCTGCAGGAGAACCCCCATCCCAGCTAAGCAGAAGCCTGGGGACTCTATTCTCTAGAAACACGGCAAGTACTGCCCAGAATTTCCCAGGGACCTTTGAGTGGGCCCCAAAACCAGAGAGGAGAAGGACAGGCAGGAGACCCAGGCAAAAAGTGTGTGGAGCAAGGCAGGGGAGCCCAGGCCCTGAGCCTCCATGCTGGAGGAATGGCTAGGGAGACCGGCAGGCTGAGAGAGGGCAGCTGGGTGGTAGAGACAGAGAGGCAAAAGGGGAGGACAGGAAGGAACCAAGAGGAGCCCGGGAAAGCATCCCACACAGCTGCAAGCTGGACCCATGCCTGGGAGCACACGTGGGAGAGGGGCCAGGCCCCAGCCTCAGAGAGAGAGAAGTGGCCTCAGAAGGAGCCAGGCTGAGCTTGAGTCCAGGGGTCCAGCCCTGGAGAGCTCACCTGGTGCGCCTGCCAGAGCATCCCCAGGGAATCAGAAGAAGAAAGAGGGGCCAGACAGGTTCTGAGCTTCTGGCCAGGTTGCTTAAGGCTCCGCGGAGCTGCGTGAACCGGAGCGCTGGCAGTGAAGGACTCCCAGCAATGGACAGTCTCCGCGGAGAGGTACTGCATAGTGCCTGGGGGGATGCGGGCTGAGACTTCCACCCATCCACTTACACACTTTGGCTCGCCTGGCACCCAGGACAGGCCTCACACTGCGGGTCCTAAAAAGGGCTGGCTGAAGGTCGTGGGAGAGGGGTGCTTTTCAACCGCGGACAACTAAGGATCCCAGCTTCTATCACCATCGGAGGCTCGAGAAGTCCATCCCACCCGCCCAGCGGCAAAAAGGCGAGGAGAAGGTGGGTGGGGCGGTACTGGAGGGTCCCTTGAGAATGACCGGAACAGGCCCACGCCCCCCAAAAAGGCAATAGGAATTGGAGGGTGGCGGGTGGCGCTGAGCAAGGCCAGTCCAGAGAGGATGGCTTCTCTCCATCTCAAGGCTAATTCTTGCAGAAACCCACAGGAAACCCAGTTCTAAAAGTCTCTGAGGGGCGCTGGAAACGGGACGTTCCTCCCTGCCAACCCTCCCCCCATTACTCCCACTGAAAACGGAGGACCTGCACCACCGCTGCCCTGCGCAACTACCGGCTGGGTTGCTCCTTCTAGCTACACCAGTTCGGTTTCTTCAGTTGCTTTATGAAAAGACAGAGTAAAGAGTTTGAGGAAATTCTCTGCGTCCCCCGGATCTTGGTCGGTTGGGGTGACAGCGAGGCTGCAGGTGGAGACTGGCGGTGAAGGTGAAAGCAGCGTGCATGGGACGCCAGCCCTCCAGCCCCAGCCGCAAAGGGGACTCCCCATGCCAATGAATTGGCGCCAGGCGGACTCACCACACCTCCAGCTCTGTGTCCCTCTTACACTAGGCAGGACGGCCCCCCAGAGCCATATAGTGCCGCAACACGCGCATGCTTTCGCACAGGCCCACACTCAGAAGGCCCCACACACATCCACGCCACGTGGCTGCACCCAGACACAGATGCGCCCAGCCTTCCTCAGCGGGACCCGCGGGAGGTAGCCGGGCAGGACGCTGTCTCTCGGAAGGCAAAGAAGTGGGTGGGAGCCCAGTGGTTAGGCACGACCCGCCTCCATGGGGGGACTTGGCTTGCCCGGTTGGCTTGCCCGGGGTTTTTCGTTTCCCCTTGCAAGGGTTTTGGTTGGTTGGGGGGGGGGGTTTGGCAGGGGGCCCCGTTCTTTTTCCCACTTCCCCCCTTCCCCCCCCGGGTTGCTTGGGGTTTTGCTTTCTTTTTTCATTCCTTTCGGGCTTGCCTTGGGGTTGGGGCCCCCTTTTCCGGGCTTGGGGGGGAAGGGGGGTTCGGCTTTTTGCGGGTTGGGGGTTCCCTTCCGGGGGGGCCGGACATGAGAAAGGAAGAATAAAGGGCGCAGGTGACAAGCAGAAAACTGGAACTCCCAAGAGTCAACACCCGCCCAGCTGGCCTGGAGCCGTGTGGCGCCTCCCTTGAGACTCCCCCGGCAGCCAGGGAAGGGAGCTGCGGGAACCTCGAGGGTCCTGGCGCTGCAGGGCTCTACCCGAGGCCTCCTCCCGCAGAAGAACACCCAGCTCACCAAGAGTGTGCGCACGCCCGGAAGCCCATCCATGGACCCCAGAAGAGGACGCTGGGACGGAGACCCGAGTTACTGGAACGGAAAGATGCCATTTGTGAAATGAAAAATTAAAATGATGAAAACAAACAAAGCCTCTCAGGGTCCAGCAGATGCTGTTTTTCCATTTTTGTTTCCTTGTGTGTAGGAGGTGGAAGGCTTTCTAACAATTTGTGTGTACTAGACTCATCTTGCTTGAATAATAAAAATTAACTTGAGAGAACCCGAGAGGAGAAAAACTGGAATGCAGAGTGGAGGCGGAGGCTTGGTGCCCCCCCATCGGTCTGGGGAGGGGGCGGTCACTAATAAGTTTGACTGCCTCTCCAGGGGCCAGGCCAGGAGGGACAGAGTGCAGGGCTCACCCACACATGCATCAAAGACTCCTTCAGGCTGAGCTCTATCCCTGCTGGGTCACACTTTCCCCAGGGCCCTCCTGAAACTCTACAAACCTTTCACACCCCTTCCTCCTGCATGCCCACACTCGCACAGCCCCACGCCCCAGGTGCCACAAACTCTCAGCACCTTCGGCGGCTAGTCCACACTGCTCACCCTCTGCACACGCTGGGCGCAATCCCACCTCTCCCATCACCCACGCACTGTGTGGCTGGCTACCTTTCCTTCCTTCCGTTAGTAGGACCAGTGGGCCGTCTCCTCTGTTATCCTAACCCTCCCCCTTTCCCCAGGTCCCAAACCCTGAGCAGAGCAGTTAGTCACCCAATTAAATAACTGGTGTACCTCCACCCTCCTTGCCTTCAGCTGGGGATATCTGCCATTGGACACATACACCCAACCATTCACAGGCACACTGGACACGCGCTATGACACTGACACACACTCACACTCATATACTTGCTTGCCTGCTCACAGAAGTCATAGAGACTGCACCAGGACACACTTGGCCATTCCACAGCCATTACACTGGCATATTCGTGGGCGCTCTCACAGACACCCTTAACCAGACCCTGGGACAGAACAAGGCACCGTCCCTACTCTAGCATCTAGCACCTGGCTCACCCTCAGTGGGTCAGAAAAGAGAAGTCTGTAGTTTTAGCGCTTTCGGGGAAGAGTCCTTTGCCATGCACATTTGCACATACATCTTCAATCTTTCTTCCAAGCCCCTTCCTTTGTCAAAGAAGGGAAATCTGGGCCTGGCCCCTCCTGGAGCTGTTGAGAGATACCAGACTCGGGCAAGCGCTGGCCTCTCCAGAAAATGCGGGACGCCTCGGAGCGCCCAGCACTATGCCTAGGGACCCCACCTACTCGGCTCTTCACGAGCTGATCCCGCTTCACTTCCAGCCCCGCTCACCTCCTCCTTTTGCCTGTCCCCGGTCCAGAGAAGACGGACCTGGAGACAAGGGACAAGCGCGGGAGAAGCTAAGCGGAGGGAAACAAGGGAATCCCTACCTTCTATACCTGTTTCCTGTGCCAGCCTCAGAGCGGCTGGGGACACAGCAGTTTGCTGCCTACCAAGGTCTCAGCCTCATTCTCGACTGTCTCAGCTCCCGGACTCGAAGTCTGCCCGTCTGTTTTCTCTCCCCCCAGCCCCCATCAGGGAATGAGGGAGAGTCAGTCTCCGTGCCTCACTCTCCTAGGTCATTTACCCACTCTCGGCCTTGCTCTCCCAGGAGGGCCAGAAGGGGCCTCCGGTCTGTCTTCATGAGTGTGAGTATGGGCACGAATCTGGGGGTTGCTCACTGCGCCCCAGCTTCCAGCCACCCCACCCCGCCCCGCCAAGCGCCCGAGAGCAAGGCCAACCTTGTTCTCTGCTAGATCTCTCCGGGATCGCCTTCCTTGCGCACTTTGGTTATTGATCTTGCTGAACCGGCCTGAGCGCAGAGGCTGCGCTGCTCTGGGGACGAAGGGAGGGGGGAGATGAGTAGGCTAGGGAAATGGTGGTGGGAGGAGAGGTTAATAAACTTTAGGAGAGGGTGTAGGGCGTTCCTCAGTAGCCCAGAGCCGCCCGGGTCTCGCTCGGCCAGGCTCAGAGCGGGGCTAGACTAGGGATGGAGTGGGGCCACCGCTCCGCCTCCTCCTCCCTCTCCCCACGGCGCAGAGCCCCCGCGTCGCCCGGAGTACTGGAACTCTGGCTCCCGCCCAATCAGCAGGGAGGGGAGGAGCAGCCGGGCGGGGCGGGGGCGGGGCCGGAGGAGGAGGAGTCCGGCGGGGTCCGCGAGGGGCGGGGAGCAAAGCGCTTGGCCAGCCTGGGCTGGCTGGGCTGTAGGGAAGGCGGCAGTGGCGGTAGGCATGGGCGATGGGGGCGCCGAGCGCGACCGCGGCCCCGCGCGCCGGGCGGAGTCTGGTGGCGGCGGTGGGCGCGGCGGGGACCGCGGCGGAGCGGAGGACTTGCGAGTTGATGGGGGTGACCGCAGCCCAACTGAGGTTACCCGGACCTTGGCCTCCAGCCCCGCAGGCTCCAGGGAGAGCGGCGCAGACAGCGACGGGCAGCCCGGGCCCGGCGAGGCGGACCACTGCCGCCGCATCCTGGTGCGAGGTAAGGGGACAGCCCGCGGCTCCGGTCCACTGGACCCCCACCTTATCCATACAGGAGGCCTCCGACCTTCCTGCATCCTCCATCCTCCCAATTCATATATTAATCCACTCATCACTCATTCATTCAGCAAATATTATTTTGAGCGTCTATTGTGTGCCTGGACATAAGCTGAGTGCAGGGGACAAAGCAGCGAATGGGACCGAAGAGGTCCCCGTTTCTCCACCTTACATTTCTCAGCCTCTCGGGCTCGTCCCCTCACCCCAGGCCCACCCGGGCCGCCTACTGTGGCCAGAGCAGAACTGGGGGTGTGGGATGCTGAGAGCAGGGTCGCCGCCCTGCGACCCTCAGGGCAAGTACGGAGAAAAGCGTCACGCGCGCTCCTCGGGGACAGGACGTGAAGGGACCAGCGTCGCCAACCGCGGGAGGAAAAGGGCCGGGCTCTGCTTGGCCACCAGGGCGCTTCCCCGCCTCCTGCCCAGCCTTGTTTCCCATCGCCAGTATTCCGGACCGTAGGGGTTGCTCCCGGAAGAGGGCACTGGACGCGGAGGGTGGCGTGCGCGGCACTCGCCCGCTGTGCTTCGCTCTCTCTGTGTCCACTTCCTCGCGGCGCCTGGGCCCAGCCGGCTCTCGGCGCCGCCTTCCCGAGGCCTGGCCTCTCGCGTTCTCCCCTTTCTCCCTCGCCCCTCTCCCTCCTCTCTTTCCCGGCCATCTTTCTCCGCCGAAGGCACCTTCCCAGCACCCTCTCCCTGCAAGTCCCCTCGATCTGGACTGCGCCCGACTACCCAGCTCTGCCTGGCCTCCTCGCCGCGAGGCCGAGGCTCCCCAGGCCCCCAACACCAGCTCACGCCAAGCCGAGGCTCAGCTTTCACTTGATCAGGGCCTCGCCCGGCGAGAAGGGAGGAGAAAGGGGACTCCGGGGTCTTGCCCTCAGGTCAACCGCAGGCCAGGGCCCAAAGTCTGTTGCCCCCGCCATCCCGAAGCCCCGGCACCCGTAGACCCAGCGCCAGAAAAGGCCACTGGCGGTAACTGCTCGCTCCAGCTCCTTCTTCAGCTCCCTCCCCCGTCTTCCTCCTGCTGCCTCTTCCCAGCCTCTTCTTCACAGCGCCTGTCCAGAGATCCGCGGGGCCTCTGGAGGCGGCGGGCCAGAGCTGATTTCCTCAGCCTGCGCCTGGGGAAAAAGAACCAGCTCTTGGTCGCTCCAGCGCGGGATCCCGAATCTGTCTGATCTGACTCGGCTACCCACAAGCTCACTGGGACACCTTGTAGTGGCTGGTGTGGGTGGCTCTGGGTATGGGGACATGGCTAGAGTAGACCACGGAGGGCAACCCAATATGAAAGTGATAACGGTCTTCAACATAGACACAGGGACCCTAGCTTTGGAAAACACTTCTGGAACCAGATGTGGTCACTGAGAGTGTAGGTGCTTACTGCCACCCATAGTTGGCTGCTAAGGCAGTTGCACTTAGTTCCAGCAGGTGTGTGGACCTGTTGGGCACCTGGGTTTAAATTAGATTTCATTTTTAGACTGTGGGTCGTCCTAGGTGCAAAGGGTAAGCAGCCAGCTTGGTTTCCTTAAGGAAATTGTAAGGTTTACAGAGACCGAAAAATTAGTTCCCTGTGCCCACACACTCCCAGGGTAAGACCTTAAAAGTCCCTGCCTGTGACATTCATCACCTCACACTCCACCTGTATGTGGGCATTTCCTTCTGCCAGGACAATTGTGAGTTCTGTGCTCACCTACTGTCCCCTTCACTCCACTAAAATTGTATGTAGAACAAATAAATTTTGTGTCCAGTGTCAATTAAATAGCCACCAGGTGTAAACTCATAGAAAGTGGGAGCCACCCTGTGAGGTAGGGCCACCCAAGCTGGGAGCAATCCACAGCCAGGCAGAGATGGACTCCCACTCTCTATGGGGCAGCCTGTGTGCATCTTTAAGGGGTGCACTTTTATAAATGTATACACACACACCCCAATGCCATTACATTTGTAAAAACATAATAGTAATATTAGATATAAAGCATAGGGGATATATTTATGCACCTAACAGAAATAAAAGGCAAATGGGGCACCCTTGCAAATCCCTCTGCCCTTCCCTATTTAATGATGAAGAGGTTATTACAGGCCTGAAATGCTCAGGACATCATTTACCACTAATCTCTCCTAGCTAGGTCACCTGCGTCACTTGCAACCCCATCATGGCTCAGGGCAGAGGCTCTGATCAATGAAACAAGTTTGGCACTGCTGAAGGAAATTCCTGTGAAGTGTCCCTTGGGCCCAGAATGAATGTCCCTCCTCCCAGAGGCCCTCAGTACATTTTGCCCTTGACCTCTGAGAACACATCCTCCCAAAGTACCTCAGAAGAGAGTCACTAAAAGGTGGAAAGGAGGCACCTTTTTTTTTTGCCCTTGCAGCCCCGTGCTGATGTTGGGGTCAGGCCTTTCTGAGAAACTGCCCCACGCCCTCTGTGTCCCTTCTGCCTCCTTTTCATTCTCCACTCCCAACGGAGGGCCGACCCCAGGGGAGCAGATCTCTTGAGGGAGTCCTTTGACAGGGAGTTAGGGGGAGAGCTTGGGCTCCAGAGTTCAGCAAAGTTGGTTTAGAATAACGGCCCTATAAGCCTTTTAAACCGGAACCAGTTTCTTTGTCTCTGTTTCCTAGTCTGTGCCAAGGGACCCATAGGCCTTACCTGAAGGGCTTGCTAAGGGTCCGTGAGGATGTCTGTAAAATTTCAAACACTCAGCAGGATCTCCACAAATATTTGTTAAAGGAAGAAAGGAAGGGGGTAGCTCTGAGGTGGCTCACAAACCACTTTTGGCAGGAGGAGCAACGGACCTTGGTTGTCAGAGGCCTCTCCGAACTCACCCTTCCCCCTTGCTCCTGGCTCTGGGCCTAGGGGCTGGGCTGTGTTGGAAGGTGAACACCCACTGATGGAAAAAGAAAACTGGCACCACCAAGCAGACCACACAGTGTGGCCCTCCCCCATCTCCTTGGTGGAACCCTTCCTCAGCCAAGGGCTCAGGCTGCCTCTCTGAATACAGGGTGGGGAGCCAGGGCGGCCAACACGCTGCATACCCTCAAAACGAAGGCTGCTTCACTTCACACACCGGCACAAACAGCTACGGAGATGACAGGCGTGGACCCACAAACCCGCCATAGGCGCGGGCACACCTCGCGGTAGGTACAGCGAGGCTTCCACCCAAACCATAACCCAGAGAAGGCCGTCCCCCACTTCCTAGCGCAGGCCCTGGGCCAGTGAGGGGTGGAGTTAGGGGAATCCTTTTGTTTTATGTTTGGAAAGGGCGCGCCAACCGCGGGCTGGAGGCAACTGAAGGAACAGGCGGCCTCTGAGCACAGTGCAGTGTCCATGCAGTGGCCTTTTCGGTGGAGCCGGGATCCCGCAGACAGAAGAGCTAGACAACCCGGACCCAAACTCTCTACGAAAGCCACGCTCGCACCTCCACACAGACGTGACTACGTGTTTCCCGAATCAATCGGTTCGCAAATTCAACAACATTGATAGAGCCTGCAATGTCTGTTCACCAGAGTCACCGGACCCAGCAGCTTTTACGGACAATGCGCGGCTCCTTTCCCCGCCACCAAAGCGGCCTCTCCGGGCTAGGCGCCGCCCCTGCGGGCCTTGAAACCCCACTGAGACGCGCCCTCCGCACGGGGAGCCGGGAGGGCCGGAGAACCGCGGGGCCCTTGCAGGAGTGACTCCCTGCACCCACCGGCCCTCACCAGCGAAAACGCTTTCACCTGGGTGGGAGCTCGACGGGTGCGCTGATGGCCGCGGGCCCTGAGGGGACGCGAGAAGAGAAGGCCGGGACTCTGGCTCGGGCTGGGCGATTCCCGCCGCGGGCGTGGGGCTGGACCTGAGCCGGGTCTGGCCCCTCAGAGGATCCGCGGGCAGCCGGGACCCGCGATCCAGAAACACGCACGTCCGAACATGTTCACAAGCACACGGGCGTGCACCCGGCGGGACCCTCGCTCCCCGAGACGCATCTGAGGAAGCCACACAGGGCGGCGGCCTGGGGCTCTGGCTGGGAGCTTACTGCGGCGACAGACGCTCCCTCCAGCAGCCGGGTCTGGGCTCATCGCCGCCCGCGTCCGCTCGCTTTCTGCTTGGGTTTCCAGCAGCCTCTGGGAGACTGGGTCCAGGCCGCAGGCCTAGCCCGGCAGGACAGGCGTTTAACAAGGACAGCGGGGCCTTGGTCTCCTTGTCTGACCCTGTTAATAGACCGGATAGCCCAGGACCAGCACCCCCAGGCAGAGGCGGAGAGGTTTAAATGGCTCTGGCAGAAAACCACACTTTGGGATTTTGATATTTATTATTATTAGATTTTAGTTTCAGGGTCTGTGGAGGGTATTAGGCTTCTTTTTTTTTATTTTCTTGGATTTGCTTGGTTTCATGTTATATTTTTCCTTTTCCTTTGTTTTGGGCAGGAGACCCACATTCCCATCGCCAGTGTACGTCCGGCCCCCTCGTTTGGTCCTTTGTTTTTTCCGTTTATATACCCACCCACGCCCACCACCCCCCTCACAGAAGCAGACCAGCAACCCTGAGTCGTCTTGGTGTGTCTTGTACGCCCAGTTTCCATTACCAGGGAGCCCTGCGGAAGGGTTAGGCAGCTCCCCTTACCTTCTCACGCTGTTTCTGTCCCCAGCGTGGTCGTGTGGACCCAGGAGCCCGTGGAACCAGCACCTCATCCCCCCTCACACACACACATCCTCAGGGACGGACTCCCAGGTAGCCCCGGGCTGACTTCCTAGGGCAAGAAGACCAAATCCTTCGGAAGCCCAGACAGTGAGCGGGTACCTGGGGCTGCAGGAAAGGGAGGAGAGGGCAGCGGCGTGCATCCTGGGGCCAGTCACCGCGCCAGACTCGAGTCTTTGCGCACCACCTGCAGGGAGAGAAAGTGTCTATGCGCCCCGTTGGCCTGGACGCCATTTCCCCAGTGACCTCTCTGGCCTCAACCTCCCTCCTTGTTCGCTAAATTT